ATTCTTTGCAGTATCTTTTAACTCACCTTCAACTGAAGTAAAAACATCCCAAATAAGGTCAATTTTCATGTTTTTATTAATAACCCTGAGTTGAAGGTGACTCTTTCTCAGCTTACTCCTGTTATTTGCTGCAAATACTGACTGAAGTAATGTAGCAAACACACCACTGAAACTCTCAAGGGAGGAGACAATACTTAGCATTCGCGGAAAAACTGTTCCCAATTACGATGTTCCCTACAAACGCATCTCTTTCAAGTAGTCAAAAAATAGCTGCAAACTTCAATTACCTATGTTTACAATGCTTATAATTCTCTTTAATATTTGAAATAGGATATAATATGAAATAATAGCAGCTCTTCTCCGAGTACAATCAAAAACAAAGAAAAAAATAAGCTCAAGTGGAAACAAGACTAAAGACAGAAGGAAGAAACTTTTCTATTTCAACAATTGAACTACATTACTTAAAAGTGAACCCTACAAGGGAAGAAGTCATACAAACACATCTTTTACAGACATCAATTGGTTAAGAGTCATTTACTTATAAAGCAGAATACTTCATAAATTATGCTCCCCCAACAGATAAATTACAGGTGCAACAGTTGAGAATATGACATTTAATAAATGAAACTCAATAAGGCCAATGGGCCTTTTAAGTCTCTTATAAATTAAATATTTACTGAAATAGAATGACTAAAGCCCTGTATTGCAAGGGTGATACATAAGTATATGCTGAAACTTACCCTGAGTCTTCCTACTAACAGCATATTAACTATCCTAATTTTAAGGAGCCATGACAGATTGAGAAAGTAATGTAGTATAAAACAAAAGACAATTGAGAACTATGGTGTCACATTATTACTTTGTATAGCCATCATCCTAGAGTTCTTGTTAAGGAAAAAAACAGTACAATGGTATTTTTGTTTTAATTTACTTTATAGAGGCATTAAATGTCCCTATACAATTATTTTTTGTTAAAATAGTTTTCTAGATTAATGATGGTCAATGAGGGTTAAGAATCACTATTTTGGTCTTAATGATATAGTCAACCACTAAGAGAGCCTTACAGAGTCAGATCACCCAGACACCTTGTGTTAATCTTCTATTCTGAAGAGGCATTTATGCCATTTCATCAAACAGATGGTACTCAAAAGTCCATCAGGAGTGTGCAGCTGAAAGTAATACTGGATATGTAGAAAAAAGGAAGTCTGAATTTTTTGCCAATTGTACAAAGGGTGGATTCAGGTGGTGAGCTGAAATGGTTTCTTTATTGCCTATTTGTTTTTGAATTAGGATAATAAGACTTTTCTTTCATATTCTGCAACTTGTGCTTATCAACATGTGACAATCAAGTGATAATTTCATATGCTTAATTTAAAATGCCTATGTATGCACAATACCACCTAATACATAGGACCCGAAACTTTTAGAAACCCGTGTCATTCATGTATTCCTTTATTGTATATTTATTGAGAAAAAAATGATACTGTGTTCACTGGGTACTGTTTTCGATACTGGAAATATAGTAGTGAACAAAAAGAAACAAAAGTCTCTACCTTCAGAGAGCTGCTTTTCCTGTGGGGATTTCTGAATAAGAACCAGATGGAGCTTTATTTACTTTCCTTTATATACCTTTACTCATCATAAATAATTTGAAACTGCTACAGAGATAAGCATATACAACAGAAAATAATTAATATAGGTATGGAAAAAATAAAACTAAATAAAGAGTGATATGATAACCTTGGTGAACTTTATTTTTCCCTTGAATTTTTACGATGAAGGAAACTTGGTGAATTTTTAAGAAATCCAGATAAAATAGCCTGGAAGGTGATTGGAATAATTCAAAGGTAAAATAAACTGCAACTGATATTAAATAAAATTAAAAGTTGCAGTAAATTCAAAAACATACAAATCAAAGCCCCTTAAAACACTGATTTTTAAAAATCCAGAGTTTGTTCCCCAGAATGTCCATAAAGTTCTTAAAAAATTAAATTCTGGGACCCATCTCAGATCTTCTCAATTATAATCCATGTGGGGGTCTAAACATATGTATTTTGTTTCAGTATAGGACATGTTATTTTTTTATAAAATTGAACCCACGATGATGATAACTTAAACTACATCTTGATATACTTTTAAAAATAGATTTAGGGGGTACAGATGCATCTTTGTTACATGGACATACTGCATAGTGCTGAAGTCTGGGCTTTCAGTGTAAACACCACCTGAATAGTGTACATTGTACCCAACAGGTAGTTTCTCATCCCTCACTCCCTTCCCGTCCTTCCACCTTTTAACACACCAATCAAACATACATATTTTTTAAAAGTTACAGTTCATTTAAAAACCACTGTCTGAAGGGTGGGATTTGATAGATGGCAGAGTGAGGAGCTAGGCAAATCTGCTTCCTCTCTAAAAACGTAACTGTAAAATATTGTCAGAACCCAGAGTTTTGGGACCCCGGTAATCAATCAGCATTAAGCAGTAACTTGAGAAATGTTTATTCATGAACCACTGTTGCATGTGGGGTAGGAAATCTGTTAAGAGTTATATGTATAAAAATATTGATAAGAAATTTCTAAGGTAATTTATCTTAAATTTTATGATTATTTCTAGATATATAATACATATTAGCATCAAAAATGTTTATAAAAAACCTATTCAGGGATTGTGATGCTTCCATAATTAACACAGCATTTGCAAACACTTGCACATTTTTAAAGTGCTATTTACAGAGCTGATTTTCTTAAATAGGGAAGATATTGCATTTGAAACCTTATTTACAAGAGCTGCCAGGACACTTTATTTCAACATATGCTATTGTAGTCCAACTTTATGTCATAAAATATTCACAAACATAAAACTACAAGGATCATAATTAACTAGATTATACTGCACATGGAAAATCAGAGTATTAACATCACAGCCCTTGATTTTTTTTATTTTTTTAACCAACATTATTTAGTGATTACCATGTGCCAAACATTGTTAATTCCTGTACATGTATCAATTCATTTAATCCTCGAGACGCTCCTAAAATGGAGCTACTATTATCATGTCTGTTTTAAAAGATGAGGAAACTGAGAGGTAGCAAGAGGTTGAGTAACTTGCCCTAAGGCACTAAGAGGTCGTGAGAGACTAACTTGCCTATGGGTAATGGCATATAGCCTGGATTCAAATTAGCTGGCTCCCAAGCCTCATGCTCTTACCTACTCTGCTGTGTTGCCAGAGCTTGTAAACCTATGATCCTGTGTTGTGAGGCAAAATACCCAGAGGGAAATGAAGGCAGTTATTAAAGAAAAGAACACATCTTATTTTCTTTTACATACGTGCATACATATATACACAAATACAGGTCACACTCACACTCTGGCACTGTCCTCATATACACACAAAACCAAAAGAAGAAGATCACCAGAATACTAGGGATTTCAAGTTAAGCCTTTAGTGTTTTAGATTAAATTTCTAGTGCCTTACCTTAAAAACACAAAAATGAATCATCACAAATGCTGTATCATGGGCAAATGTATTGCATATATAATGTCAATCATAGGCAATACCAAAATATGTTGTTCTATAGTATAACATGTCTAGTATACATATAGCCTTTATTTACCTGTTTGAATTATTTTATTTCTAATTTAAGGGTTCCCTCTTCTATCTTAAATAAACAGACAGCAATTTCATCTTCCAGAAGATTTGTTACCTAAATCAGTTTAGTCCCATGGTGTACCTGGCCTATAATATCATGCATTCCTGCGTTTCTCACCAAGCACCTTTGTTCCATCTACAGTGACGTTTGTCTTATTTTTCTGCAGATTTGAAGGTTTCATACATGAATTTGTTATTTTACCTGTTAGTGCTGAGATATTATTTTTCGAAAGAAGTTTTTATATCAACCAAACATGTTTTATATGGCTGAGATGTTCACGTCAGGACTCTTAAGACATCCTCACACATTTATCAAAAAATTATGATAGAGCTCCACTGAACAATGAAAATGCCAAGAGACATGAAATGGGATGAAATACAGGACTTCAGAAACCTCTCGTTAGTGAGAAAACATAGAGGCATAGAACGAGCACAAGCAAACGTCAATGTCGCCAATGAAAGACTGCAGCAGTTAAAAGAAAACTGGTAGCTAATGGCAGGCTAGATAAGAAGCAGCCCTCTCCAGTGAATCACATGATATTCCTTTCTGGGAACCCAGAGCCTGTCCCACACTTCCTAGTGTGCTTCTGAGCTAGGCTTTGCAGCAAAGAGACAATTTCATTTAACTTTTTAATTAACATGTGTCCTTGCTGATAGACACTGTGAATGAAGCACTTTTTCCTTCCCATTATGGCTTAGAGTTTAGATTTAATTACTGTGGAAATGAATCAAGAAACGTGACTTCGGGCATAGCATTTTAAATGTCGGCAGAGTAACCATATTAATTCTCTATTTTAAAGTATCAGTGTCATCCCATCTTTATGATGAGTGATGTGAAAATAACTTTAGAAAGGAGGTTACTGTCCCAGAGACTCCGTGGGCCATGGGAATATCACCTATTAGTTGTAATTTGGAAAGATTTTGTTTGGATAATGAGTTAGTTTCATTTTGCAAGTTCTCATAAATACTTATGCATCATGAAAATTTGTCTTACAGTGTTATATATGACATTTTCGGGGCCCCTTAACTTCAGCCAGTCAGCTAACAAAATATATAATATCATATATAATCATGCATGTCATCAAATGTGTACACAGTCACATTTTCTGAAAATGGAAAGTTTAGAAAAGTAGCCTAAAATGAGTAGGGGAATACAGATAGAGATAAAAATATTATAGAGGTAGAGAAAATTATCTCTCTCTCATGTCATAAGCTATAAGCCATGAAAATACAGTAAAGTACTGAAATATTTAGTCCTTCAATAAAATATGTATTTTGAAAAAAAACAAAACAACCCAAAATGACCTTAGACGAAAAAAAAAAAAAACCTTGAAAAACATGTGAGATACCTTCTCATGCAATCCAGCGCTCGGATAAAGAAGTCCTTGTGTAACTGGTGCTCATCTCTCAAGATTGAGCATTGTTCAAGTGTCACTGACATCGATGTCCTGTCTTTGGCGCTTTTACAACAGGTGAAACGAATACCATTTAGTTTGCGGCAAATCTGTAACATACGTAAAAACGAATGTTTACTGTACATTTGTAATACCGTATTACAAATTACGGTATTACTTTACCGTAAAGTGTTGGCCTCCTCCAAACACTTCTAGTCTAAACACATCAAATATAAATTTGGGTTTCTGTTAATTTATGGTAGTCAATTGGTTCAATTGGTCTTATCAGATGTAAAGGCATTACCTTTCCATTTCAAAAGTCAATGCAATGGACCTAATTTATTTAATTCTTTGTACATGAGGCGTGGAACCGTTGAAGCCGTATAAGATGTGAAATATCCAGCAGAGGACGCAGCACACTACCCAACGGGGTGCCTGGTCTGCAGTGTATGACAATGCTAAACTAATTCCTGCTCAGAAACAACACCTTTATTGTAAAGAGGAAAACACAAACAAACCAAAAACAAACAAACAAACAAAATCTATATTCCCTGGAGTAAAAAGTTGATTCAAATCATATATAGCTAATATTCTCTTATTTTACATTTAAGAAACATTTGCTAGTCTTGGTTTTATGTTATGAGATTTTAAACATTCTCATGGTGCCTCACAACAGACAAGGGAACTACTCATCAGTACTAAAAAGCAGAATACTAGAAATGGCCACTGTTTATTGCAAATTGTGCTCTAGGGTACAACACTAAGAAATTTCATAGACAGTTGCACTTTTTAATAAACTTCACAGGGGCTGGGCACAGCGGTTTATGCCTGTAATCCTAACACTTTGGGAGGCCAAGGCAGGAGGATCATTTGAGCTCAGCAGTTTGAGACAAGCCTGGGCAACATAACAAAGACTCCTCTCTATCAAAAATAATAATAATAAAATTAGCTGGGCATGGTGATGCATGCTTGTAGTCCCAGCTACTTGGGAGTCTGAGGTGGGAGTATTACTTGAGCCTATGATCATGCCACTGCATTGCAGCCTGGGCAACAGAATGAGACCCTGTCTCAAAAAACACCTCCCAAATTAAAAATAAAAATAAGTAAACAAATAAACTTCACAGGAACTCTAGAAGAAGGTATAATTATTTTCTTTTTATAGATGAGGAAACTGAGGTTTAGATGGGTTAAGTAACTTGCACATAACAGAGCAGAACCAGGATTCAAACAGAACTCTGCTTAAGTTCAATAATCAAGTCTTTTAACTTCTATTATGTTCTGTTTTCCTCTACAGTTCTTTCTTTTTGTTATTCTGATTTAAGTCAGAGAAAAATCACTGAGCATCAATACTCTCTTGTCTCATTGCCTTATGGTTAATAGGGAAATCATTCCATTTGTTTCTCTTCCATACCATGGTAGGGTTCTTATATGAAATACTAATAATCAACTTTGGCATTACAATGCTAATCAGTGTGCATTTAAAATAGATCTAATGTGATATAACAAAGGTCTTCTTTATTATCTGTCATCAAGCAGTCTTTAAAAGTTGTCTGCTTTTAAAAGAAGGTAAAATAATACAGCTAATCTAGAACTTATTACCACGTTTTAATTGTGATTCTGATACTTAAACTTGAATTTACACATCACTATTAATTTAGACCTTTGGTACTTCTATTTCCAATATAAGTGACTAGAAAATGTGAGAGCATGATTTCTTCATACAATCTTTTTACATCTAGAGAATTCTAATCCTTTCAAATAAACAGTATTTCATTTTTTAAAATTCTTAACTATATTCATAATAATAAAATAGACCATAATGGCTATTTTTGAGATACGATTTTTAAATGGAATTAATATTCCTTAAAATTTTTTGTTACTATCATATGTACTTGTCCTACTTAAAATATTTGACGTTCTAAATTTAAAGTCTATTGGAGGTAAGGGCAGTTGATTTCTGTATTTCTACAATACCCAAACTATTGATTTAACACACTTGATTGTCATTTGTCCTCTTTAAATGTTCACTTTTACTACTTAAACTTAAAGAAGATAAAACCAAATAACTTTATTTTTATTTATTTATTTATTTTTGAGACAGAGTCTCACTCTGTCACCAGACTGGAGTGCTGCGGCGTGATCTCGGCTCACTGCAACCTCCGACTCCCTGGTTCAAGGGATTCTCCTGCTTCAGCCTCCTGCATAGCTGGGATTACGGGCATGCGCCACCACGCCTAATTTTTGTATTTTAGTAGAGACGGAGTTTCACTATGTTGGCCAGGATGGTCTTGATCTCCTGACCTCATGATTCACCTGCCTCGGTCTCCCAAAGTGCTGGGATTACAGGCATGAGCCACAACGCCCGGCCACTTTATATTTTTCAATTAGAATGTAAAACATTAACTAAAGCAGTATTTCATTAAATAGATTTTTTAAAGGAAAATAAAATAAAAAAATTGACAAAATATTTCTGGAAAATATCAAAAGGAATTTCTATATTTCTTTATTTTAAAAGTTTCATTAAGGCCCATGATTTACAAATAGAACATTGAAACTGAGGTATTAGCCAACAGAAATGCTACTAATCATTTATTCAGTGGTGAATTGTGAGTAAATCATATTTGGTCAGTATACACATTTCAAAAAAATTTTTAGAAATGTGTGGGATTTATAGGAAAACTTTTTCATACATTAAAATGGGAAATTGCATATATTAAAAGAAAATACACATTTGTGTTTATATGTGTGTATCCTTAATTTATCTATTTACATAACTTCACAATATGTACATAATGACACATTTATGTTTGTAAATCGTCAGATGGCACGAGTATCAAACTATCTTCATGCCGTCGTGTTTTCAGTAAAATAGAAAACACAATTTATGACCTGCCATTGTGAAATTTTTGTTAGAATTAACAACCAGAGTGGTCTTTGAAGACACAAAGAACAGCCACACTATTAAAAACAACCTTCATGTAATACAGTATGGCGCTAAATGGAACCAGTGTAAATGAGCTGCCTGAAAGCAACATTTCATATTGTTCTTCCCTGGGGCTCCAAGAAAGCAGGAAGGGAAACTAAGGAAGTTTTCCTCTGCCTTGCTTTTGGTAAATTATTTCATATGGGCTCATGGTAAATTATCCATTCCTTTTTCCCAGAAGAAAGTAATAATACTGAATTATAATTGAAGCACTGGCAGTAGGGGAAAACTTTCTGTTTTAAATGCTATGACTAGAGAATGAATAGAGTATGCTAGAAGCGTGGTTAACCTGAGCTCCAAATTATAGGAATAACACTGCAGAACTGCAAACATGGCATTTATCATAAAGATCTTTAACATGTACCTTTCCTGATGGAAGAATGCATTCCTAATGAAAGGATGTTGGGGTCTGAATGTTTAACACAATTCATAAATTTCATGTGAGCTATGCCTCAATGGTTACCAGATAAGAGCCTTAAACATACAGGCATTTTTTTCTAATTCTTGTAGAAACCTGTGGTGAGAATACAGGCAGATCTTTTACCCCAAAGGCACCATTAAATGAGAAAGAGCTACACAAAATATAGCTCATTACCCCTAGAGCAATCCATCAGTAATGAATTCTATGCCAATATCTAAATTAACAAACACATTTATAAGCTTGTTAACTGAACAATATGTCCAGGAGCCTTATTGAAGCTGTGAATCAGAGATCTGATAACCACATTCTGTTGAAACCATATGTCTCTAAAGCAGCAGTTCAAAATCCTGGGTGATATGGGCAATTGACATTGCAACATGCAATATCAAGAAATTCACAGACGCTCCCTCAGAGTGGAGAACACATCCAAGGTTGGTAAGAAGAGCAAGTGAGCAAGATTCTTTCTTGAGTGCATCTTCTTTCATCTTATGTTCTAGTCTATGGATAGAACTACCAACAAGAGTAAAAATGCCTAATCCACGGAATAATAGAAGATGACAGCTGGTAACCCCAAGTGCAGAGGTTGGACTCTGCACAATAGAGAACTGATAATATTTGCTGGTTATGACGTGGCAGGAAATAAGATTTGACATGAGAGTGCTTACCGTTGCAGCCAGCCACATAATTTCTACATTCTTTCTTTTTTTGGATTGGATATTTTGATGGAGATTTTCTAGTAATGCTTTTAAATCATTTTGTTCCTGAAAATGTGAAATATCTGAAGGAGGAAAAAAACAAAGGAGAAAAATAAAATGAGACAGTGTTCACATTAAGCTGCCTATGGAGGTTTTTTCAATACTTTTATTTGCAACCACAACTTTTCTTTTAGATAGGGTCTTGCTCTGCCTACCCAGGCTGGAGTGCCAGTGGGACCAAATCTCTGCTCACTGCAGCCAAGCCTCAATCTTCCAGGCTCAAATGATTCTCCCACCTCAGCGCCCAAAGTAGCTGGGATTACAGGAGCATATAACCATACCCAGCTACTTTTTGTATTTTTTGTAGAGACAGAGTTTGGCCATGTCACCTAGGCTGGTCTCAAACTCCTGAGCTCAAACAAACTGGCTGTCTTGGCCACCTGAAGTGCTAGGATTACCGGCGTGAGCCACTGCACCCAGCCTCAAACACAATTTTATAACAACAAATATCATCTGAAGCAGAGAGTATCTGAGGATAACCATACTTATTAATTTATCTGGTTTTATTCTTTACTTATAAATACGCTTAATTCTCTATTCTCTATTCTGTATAACTATGGTAATATCAAGTGGTCCTACAGTACTATTTTACCAGCACTTTGGACAAAGATGACAACTTCTGTCTCATTTTAATGAAAGCATAAGACAGAGATGTCATGAGATATAACTTTCCTTCTTTTTTTGCCATTGAGTAGCTAGTCTGAGTCAAGAGAATATATTAAATTGAACATCTCAGGGGTGGGAGAAATCTGAAAGTTCAAATAAAATACATGAAGTCAGTTGCTATACAGCAAGTTTCCTTGAACTCGGCACTATTAACTTCTTGAATCAGGTAATATTTTGCTGGGAGGAAGACCATACTGTGCATTACAGGATTTTTCGCAGCATCCCTGGCCTCTACCATTCACGCGTCAGTAGTAGCTTTCCCAAGGTAACAGTAAAAACGGCCTTCAGACACTGCCAATGTTTCCTGACAGAAAAATATATCCTGCTTGAGAGCCACTGCCAGAAAGAAGCACAGATATGACGGAAAGAGGAAAAACATGAGGTATAGTTCACAGTATGAGATAACTGAGTAGAAAGCAGGAAATGACACTGGTGGCTCAGATTTCTACATACTAACAACTAAAGCATGGGTAATAAATGGCATACACTTTATACTAAAAACAGAGACAATGTACATTATGACACAAATGTCCCCAAGACTTGGTGAGATGGGGTTCAAGATTACAGTGACAGAAACAAGAAGACTGTCTAAATGAATGGCTGGGTAAGTACTGTATAGTATGAAAACACACTCTACTGTTGAATCCATAAACTGAGAGAGAAACTCCTGAGAGCTTTAACTAAGACTAAAAACAGGAGAAAATACAATGGACTACACCTACATTACCAAGTTTCACTGAAGAAATAGATGACATAGTCCTTTCAAGTTCACAAAAACTGACACAAATGAATTTTAGTAGTAATGAGGCTTTGTACTTTTTCAAATTTGTACCAGATGTTGCAGTTTAGCAAAACAACATTTCTGAATAGTTCTAGTTTGTGACTTTAGCTCCAGGGAAGAGAGGAAGTATCCCAGTGAACTATACTAGTGATTAAGAGCGGAAGTGGTTGGTAAGGTAGGAATTTCCATTGAAAAGAATCATATCTCATCTTGGATTTTATGATTACAGAATAGAGGAAGGTTGGGTACAATCCAGATGGGTTGAGGGAAGTGAGATTCAAAATCATCATATAAAATATATGCATGATTCCACTGAATTTGTTTCTAAAAGGGAAAGTTGTCAAAAGTCAAATCTTTACTATTTAACTACAGATGATTCTCATAAAAATGAGAAAGTTTGACTGAAGACATTGCATTGCGAGGTAGAAGCTTCTCTGATATACAGGAATTTTAACAGGACACAGCCCAAAGATAGCCTGAAGAGAAAGGGAAGGAGGCCAAATATGGAATGCCTTGAAGGGAGTCATAAAATCAGACCAGGATTTGGTGGCTAATCAAAGAAGGTAAGGACAATAATGCTGTCTTTTAATTTATAATCATGGCATGCAAGAAATAAGAAGTCAAGTCCACCATCCCTGCTTTTAATGTTGATAAATGGCAACCAAAACAAACCCAGGGGAAGCCATAAATTAGAATTATAAGCAGCCATTAAAATTATGTGCAGGTATATCAGTGACATAGAAAGTGTCCTTGATATTGCTGAAAAGAAGAATTGGTCAGATTAATGAAAGAATGTATTTGTGTAACAATGTGTGTGTATGTGTGTGTGTGTGTGCACGTGCACATGAATGCCTGTGTGTATGTTGGCTTCTCTTGGCATATGTATACAGGCAGAGTGAAACATTAGTTTAGATATTAACAGTGGCCATCTTTAGGTGTGCAACTTAGTGTAATGTTTCAACTGCCTTTTCATATCATTTGAAATGAACATATATTGTTTTTAAATAATAAGATGATTTCAAGAGCAATGGGAAACAGAGAATGTGCATGAGAAAAGGAAAGAAATTAAATTCTTTTTTTTTTTAGATTCATGGTAGAACAGTTCTACCTTATATCCTGAAGAACCTAAATTCTTATGATATAAAGACCTGAATTCAAAATGTCCACAGTCTAGTAGGGTGGGATGGATATTTAAACTATTATTAAATATAGGAAAGTATACTGCAGACTGTGACATCACTCAGTAAAGATTTGTGAAGCAAGGGAAGCACTGGACAATTTTATAAGAATTGGTGGGTATGGGAGGGCATCTAGCAAAGATAACGCTTTGTGTCTACCAAGAGCATTTGAGGCTGAGGGGCAAATAGCAAAGGCACAAGGCATGAGCCAGTACTGCAGAAACAGAGAGTGTGCGGTTCACAATGTCCTTAGAGTGGATAGTCCTGGGGCAAGATTTATGAAGGAGAATCATGTTCTGCTATGCTGGGGAATCTGGGCTTCATCCTAGAAAATGCGGGCAACTGGTAAGTTTTAAACAAGGGCTTAACCCCTTCTGGAAAGCCCCTGAGTTTCTTTCTGAAGTCAGGCTTGTACAAATGGCTCTCAAATCATTTTGAAAGCAATACAGAATAAGAAGTTTCCTTTAACTCAAGATGAAGACATCACACATGTTCTGGAGAGCTGATGCATAACAATGCAATTTTAATCAGCAATACTTTATAATGTATTTGAAATTTGCTAACAGAGTGGATTGTAAATGTTCTCACCACACACACACACACACACACACACACACAAAGTGATAACTATCTGAGGTGATGAAATAGTAATTAGTTTGACTATGGTAATTATTTAATAATGGATACGTGTAACACATCATCAAATTGTATGCCTTAGGTATACATAATCCTTAATTATAAAAAATACCTCAATTTACAAAAAAAAGCTTAATTTACATAATATCTCACAGCAGTCATACACACACACACACCCCTCTGTAACAAAAATTTTATGAAATAATATTTACTTTTAGTGCATGCCTTGCACCTGAAATTTTCTATTTCATAATTTTTGAAAAATTGTAGTTCCAACACACCACATTTATTGAACATGTCATAGGATTAACATAAACCATTTGGAAAGCCCTGATTTAGGGCAACCCTATGTCCAAAGTGACTGGGGCTGAAGTGACTTTTTCACAAAGTTCATAGTGAGAGGAGGAGTCAAGGCTAAAACTTTGTCTCTTAACTGTTGTACCCGTAATTTCTCCAAAATCTCTGCTGATGTTTTTACCATTGGTACCACTAAAACCAGCTCTGGTATTAACACAATAGGCCAAATTCTTCAGAATGCTGAGACTCCAGAACAGAGCATGATTTATCAAAATAATTTTGTTTCATTGTAGACATGGAAATGTTTTAATAAGCCATTTTAAACAGACTATAGGGATCCTAAATGTAAATCAAGCACTTGGCCATCGTTTCCCCATTCCCACCTCATAAAGAGAGTGTGTTAGAATCGACAGGCATGATGTCTCATGGAAATTTCGCTCCCTCTCCCATGGTGTGCTTCTTACAAGAAAGTAATTTTGATTTTTTTTTTTCGTTTGTTTTTTGTTTTTTATTTTTACATTTTTAGGCCACTATTTCTATTTCTATAGTGACAAAACTTGCTTTATTCAGAGCACACCTCTGTCAACCTAATACTTTGGTTGCTGCCATTTTATTTTTTTTCCAACCCAATAAAAATTGCAGACCACAGAAATTCAAGTCTGGTTCAGGAAAGCAGTACAATTAATAATAGCCAGTTTGTTAATAGGTGAGATTTCAAGATGTCATGATAGATCCTGATGTATCAACTGAAAATTGTGGTGTACACAGAACGTGAATTGGTTTTAGGCTTAGACTGTGTCTCCTCAAATGTAAATATAGCCAAAAAGTCTTGCTTTTGCTACTCATTCCTGCAAATTTAGACAGCACAGCTGAGTCTCTATGCATATGTCCATAATAGTATTCTTTTTTTTTTGGAATGGAGTTTAAGAAAGTATTCAGAGATAAAAGTTACAAGAATGTTTATTGCATTACTGTTTATAATTTTAAATAGCAAAAAAGCTTTAAAATGTTCATAAAGAGTAAGAATAAACCAATATATTAATGCAAAGTAATATAAGTAAAAAGGATACACAAATGCCATATGTGTCAACATGGATATATTACAAAAACGATATTGAGCAAAAAAGAATGAATTATAGAAAGATGCATCCAAAGTAACAGTAGTCATACAGTTAAATGTGCAAAACTGTACCATATTTTAATGGATATATAAATATAGAGTAAAATGTGTATGAGGATGTAAAACATCAAATTCAGGGTATTGGTGTTCTCATAGGAGGGGAGGGTTAAGGGTGGTAAGCCGGAGGGGTACAAAGGGAGCTTTCACCCTATCTGTAAATACCTGTTTCTTATGAAAATTCCAAAGCTGAGCAATGGGTTCCCAAATGTGTGCTATTTATGATTTGTTCTTTTTCGTTTGTTTGAAACTTTTATAATTGCTTTTCAAAAACAGCACTGAGCCAAG